TATAGTTTTCTAGGGCTTCTGGTCTATAACAAGTTGTGTGAGTGTGAGTGTGTGTGTGTGAAAAGATCAGATGGATACGTGGCATGCAAATTCTTAAAGGTTATTAACTTCAGTTTATTTACTATCTATGTTGCAGATTGTTTTTATTCAAATAAACTAAAGATGTGATGCATTATAGGATAGAGCCAGATACTCTAAGGTCTCGTTTGGTATGATAAAGAGTTTTTGATAGAATCGGAATCGGAATTGAAATTGGAATCGGAATCGAAATTGAATTGAGTTTTAAAAGTGTGTTTGGTATGAAGATGGAATCATGATATAATTTTAATAAGTATATATATTTAAAATATAAAAAATCAAAATACCCTTTATTTTATTTTTTTAATGAAAAACTTAATAAAAAAATAAAGAATGTACTTTTAAAGCTCAAAATACCTTTTATTTTATTTTTTTAATGACACATAAGCCAATTTCATGTTGAGTTAGTGGATTCTATGGTCTCTACAATGAAATTGGATTCCATCAATTTTGATGGAATCAGATTCCTTCAAGATCGCAATTCTAGTATACCAAACAAGCCAACTGAAGAATTCATGTCCAATTCCATTTTCTTTTTCACAATTCTAATGTACCAAACATGGCCTAAGGTTTTACCCTTTATAGGTGAAATTTAACCGTTGTAGGAGTTTTTTTTCCCGTTATTTCAAAATTTAAGTTTTGCTTAATCCATATAAGTAGGTGTTGATTTGATAAATTGAGCAATGAATATATATATATATATATCCATGATATTGTGTACTTGTATTGAAAAATTGCATGATCATCCTTTACACAGATTAGAGTACTAATCAAGAGATTGTTTACAATTTAATCCAATTGGTCGGATTCCAAGTCATATATGCACAAATGGGCCAAGTCAACACCCGCTACAGTGATGGCCACTTGGTATGGTCATGATAATCCATATTCTATAAAAAAAAGTAAAATTATTTGCATTACTGTTTATTCAATATTTATTGATATGATGACAATATAAAATTAATATGGATATCTATTTTTCAGATTGTTGTTATATATATACTGAATGAAGTTAAATCGCCCCATGCAATTCACATACAACCCTTAATTTGAGATCTCAACGGTTGAGTATTTTATGAGTATAGCTTGAAGCAACCTGAGTTCATTTGGGTGCAGTTTTTCTAATGTATTTTTAATCCACAAGGTTTGAACTCTTGAACTTACATTTTTATTAAGAGAATCAAGTTCTTTTTATTCAACTCATTCTTTGTTGACATTAACAATGTTTAATTTGTTGCCAAAAGAATTAAACAGACAAGCATTTTATACAACTTTTAGTAACTAGATTGATTCTTTATACATGCATCCCAAAAATTTTGAGAGGCCAAAAACTATATTATTGTTTAATTTATTTTTTACAAGTGCTAGGTTTCATATAAACAGGTTAATAATGACAAAAAATTCTTATAATCATAAAATTATTTTGTAGTGATGTGTCCTTTATTAAAGTTGTTGATTGGATAACTGTCCATGATAAGTCACCAAAGAAAATACTTCATTTGGTCTAAAATATAAATGTTTTTTTAATAATAATTCAAGAATCTAATAAAAATCTTATTCTGACGAAAAAATATATTTTGTTTTTCTTTATTACATTTAGTTTTAATTTATGATAAATGAAAAAGAAGTTTACAAATTCAAAAGCACATGGATTTAGATTAATAAATTCAAGGGTTAAAATGAAAAAAAAAATTACAACTATTAAGTTCCTTATATTTTGAATCAAAATTAATTGAGAGAAAATGCTTTATATATATATATATATATATTTTATATTAGAAAGAATAAATATGATTATTTTTTACTACAAAAAAATAATTTTACGAAGATTTCATTAAAATATCCTTGTTTTCATTAATTTTTAATGTCTACGTTTAAAAATGGATTGTTTAAAAAGAAGAGTACAGTGATTAATAAAAAAATATTCAGGCAACAAAATAAAAAAATTAAGAAAGGGAGAATTTCATTTAAAATTATTTAACTGCATTTAATAAAAAAGGAAAGACCCTTAAAATTTAAAACTTCAAACTAGAAATAATGAAGTGAAATTAAAATGTAGAATAAGGTTATCTCATTGCCTCCCATCCATTTTGATTTTTATTGAAATAGTTCATTTCTCTACATGAAGTCATTCATTGATTTATATGAAGTTTAATAATGGCACAAACAACTCCTATAACTCAATAAACAATTTGATTGAGTGAAATGAATAACTCATTTACCATGATTACAACAATTGGAATAAAATTAAGATTTATTAATGGCACAAATAATTCCTAGAGGTTAATAAATAACTTCATGGAGGTTAATGAACAACTTCATATAAAAAATAAATAACTCATTTTATCATGCAAGATTCAATAATAACACAAATAACTCCTCTAGGTCAACAAACAATTTTATGTAGGAAAATGAATAATTTTAATAGAGAATGAGGGGGATGAGGAATAACAAAATAATTTTACGATGCATTTTAATTTTACTTCAATAACTCTGGTTTGAAATAATTTTCCAAAATTTAAGAATCTTCTTTTTAATTTTCATTAAATATGATTAAGGGATATTAAATTAAAATTTTTAAAAAGATTATCAAAAATTTTTAAAAATGACTTACATATAAGACCAAAGGAAGTATGTCTTTTATAGTATTTACATACATATTGAGAAATACAAGGCAAAAGGACACATTTGGTCATTTAGTTTTACATAAGATTTTAGTTCAATTCATTAATTTTTGTAAGTATCTTTTTAGTTTTTTAATCCTAACACTTTTAGTTTCATTGAAAACACATTAGCATTAAACTTTTAAATGTTAACAAAACATTATTAAATGTTGATATATTAAATTTTTTTTTAAAAATAATAACAATTGAAGCAAAAAATCATCCTATAATAACCTAAGTCGGCCCTAAACTACAAAATTGATTTAGACTTCGTTTTTTTTTTGGTACAATTTAGACTTAGTTAATTATTATCTTTTTGGGGCAGAAAATTAGTTAACTTTTTTTTTTTGGATATCAACTAAATTAATTTTTGACATGTCAAAGCTTTAACAAGTTTGACCCATTAGGCCTAGCTTGGCCCATTTTGGCCAAAAGATGTGTCTCTTTGTTTGCAAGTTGTAAGTCTTTTGACTTTTATATGCACATTATTTAATTTGTAAATGTACTAAGGTTAGAAAAGTCCAATGTACCAGCTAGTTAAAAATACCATGCCTATTTTGGAAATTTGTTTTGAAAATAATTTTTTATTTTTAGAATAAAAATAAAAAATTATTTGATAATGTATTTTCAAAAAATATTTTAAAGAATGGAAAAACAAAAACATCTTTTATATGTTCTGAAATTATTGTTTAAAAAAAATAAGAAAGAATGAGAAAAAACATATATTTTTATTATTTATTTTATTTTCAGAATATGTTCTGCAAAATACCAATTTTCAACATAATAAAATAAAGATAATTTCTATCAAATCCCATATATTTAATGCTTTAATTTCTTTTCTTTCCATTAGTTCTCATGGAAATTAAGATGCAGCAAACCCTACAATGAAAAAAAATATATCCTTTAGGGTGACATCACTTTTTTGAGGACTCAACAAGTTCTAGAGGATTGGATATACCGATTACAATGCTATTCCATATTCAAAGTTGTAAAGAAAACATTTTGACCATTTGACTTTTTTAATTATCAATCAAGGATTAAAGTTCTTAATTTTATCTTTCAAATAGGGAGAATAACAATAAAGTCTTAAAATAGAAATTAGTAATAGTTATGTTCTTGACTAATTTTTCTTAAAGATGAATTGTAAATATTGATTCAAATTGTTACAAATTGAAAATTAATAGTTATATTTAGGATTTAAATATATGTTTTATTTACAATTTAAACTCTTGAATTTACAATTACTTAAATTGATATTTGTAACTATTTTTTAAAAAAATTTATGAAAAACTTAACTATCATTAATTCATGTCCTTGAGACTTAATCATCATTATCCATTTAAAATTTTGTGATCTCAGAATTTTAATATCATATGTTAATTTGGTCTCATAGTGTCATTTTTATAAAAGTGTTCAAAACCAATCCAAACTAATTACACAACAAATCAAATTGAACCAACCTAATATGAACCAATTAAAGTCGATTATAAATGAGGTTTGTTTTTTTTTTTTTTGGAAAAATCAATTGATTTAGTTTTTTATTTCTGAAAACTTGAAATAAACCGAAACCAATTCTTATTATATTTATTATATGTATATTTTAATAAATTTGCATCAGTTTTTTTCCTTTCCCAAGTTTGGTTATTTCCAAATCATTAGTAAAAATATATTACAATTAGCTAAATGTTATCTACAATTGTTTTTGATAATTTTTAATTTTATAATCAAGTGTTTTAAACATAATATATTAATTTTTTATGGTTTTTTATGCTAATTAATTGTTAAAAAAAATATTCTTTTGTGTTCAGTAGTTTTTTCATTGTGAATAGTAATTAATAGTTTACAATTATCAGTGAACATGAGTATATATTGATAATTATAAAAATATTTTATAAGAAGTTTAAGTTTGATCTAAACCTAAACAAAAGAAAACCAGCAACTGAATCACAAATCAAAACAAACTAATGATATAAAACCCAAATAAGTTTCAAACTATAATAAATCAATTAGTTTGATTTTTACTTAAAATTAAATCAAACCGACCTTATAAACACAGTTGGGTTTTACACCTCTGTGCGCAATTCGTTGGATGGTGTTTGCGCTGTTGCGTCGGGTGTAGTGCGCCTGCCACTCTCTCTCACTGTTAAGTCCAAGAGCCACAAGAGGAAATAAAACGAAAAAAGTTGCCCCTCCCACACCACATGTCCACATGCCTCCTCTCTCTCTCTCTCTCTGTTTGTTCGCTTAGGTGGGGTTCATCTTCATCACACCCTTGCCTAGGCTTACTTTTCAGCTAGGGTTGATTCCTGATTCTTGGCCGGCAAGCATCATCCTTTTTCTTGCAATCTTGCATTTCCTCTTTTAGACAACTAATTTCCTCCTTTAATTTTCTTTTCCTGTAATATTCCCATTCATTTTCTCTTTCTCAACCCTTTTCTTCATATTCTTTTTCTTCTTGTTTAGTTCTGAACTCTGGTGTTTCACAGTAAGATTCATCAGCTTTTTCTGATTGAAAGCCCTCTGTGTTCTTCAAGATTTCTCCGCCCTTCTTTCTTTAGATTAGTTTTCTGTATTGCTCAATGGATCTGAGATATTGGTTTTCTACTTCTATTTGGGAGAGAATTATGAGCCACCGCATTTCATTTTACTGATTGGACACTAATATTCCTTTTTTTGTCACAAAATATTCGGTAATTTTTTTTTCTGGAGAGTCTGAATTCTTTTCCTGATTTTTGGGTCTATTTTTGCTTAATCAGGAAATGACAAGGCAGAAGATAGAAATAAAGAAGATCGATAACATAACAGCGAGGCAAGTAACGTTTTCAAAGAGAAGAAGAGGGCTATTCAAGAAGGCTCATGAACTTGCTACTCTCTGTGATGTTGAGATTGCTCTCATAGTCTTTTCTGCCACTGGCAAGCTCTCTGAATATAGTAGCTCAAGGTCTCTCCTTCTTTCTTCTTTTAGTTTCATTTTCCTCACCTTAATGATGTACAGTTGAATGCTTTTTCCAGGTAATTATTGTTTAATTTTTCATACGTATGTGCAACATTTGTAGATCGTGTACTTGTGCTTATTATTTTAATTTTATTTTAGGCTCATTAATCTAGACTAACGGGAGATTGACTACGAACGTGCTTGCTAGAAAATCTCATCAGCGTTATTTTCTGTAAAACACTGTTTGCAATCCTCATGATGGATTTAATTTGTGGCTCTCTCTTTTTAGAAATTTTTATAATCATCATCATCTTGGCTGACTTGCTTGTTATGAGAACCAACCCTATTCAGTTCTGTTGATTAATTGTAACCTTGACTCTATGAATAAGACAGACTTGAGAAATATATTTTCAAAACTCTGAACCTAAGGTTCTGGCATAATCCAATGTAAATGTATGTCTCTCTCTTTCCTCATAACAGAGGAAAGTGACTTTAAAAACTATTCATTTATTGTTTTGATATCTAACTGCAAAGATAAAGCCAGCGTGGTGTCATGTATGCTATAGTTAATTCATGTCCAACATGCCTGTCTGTATGTATCTTCGTTGTCATATATTATAGAGTAATGCAAGTATAAAAGCCACTGGACAAAAGGATGCTTTATTTTGAATGAGACCTTTTCATCATTTTAGAAAAAGAAACGTTTAGTGTTAAACTTGCTTGAGAAAAGGATGGTGCTTAGGGTAATATCTGATTCACAAACATGATTAGTTTTCAGAAGAGAAAGCTCTTTCTGGATGTTCGTTTAGATATAATAATGGCATTACACTCAACGCATTGATATAGTAATCTCTGACATCACAGTATATGTGTGAACTTTAAATTTCTATATTTGCATGAGTATTTGAGACATTTGTCATGGCCAGACATGCATAAGTACTAAAACTTGCTTAGGATGAAATCTACCCCGGTTGTAAAAGTGAGTGAAGTTCAAAATATTTAAGAAGGGAAGCAAAATTCTGAAACTACTTTGTGAGATTTGGAAAGTTATCCCAAATCTTTATTGATGATATCAAAGTTAAAACGCCCCTTTGAATTATATATAGGAGATCTATTAATTTTCCCGTCCAAGAGTTATAATAGTCCGATTCAATACACTGAATTTTTAAGCTTTTGTTCTTGGATACGGTACTCTTCATTTCTGCAGACAAGCTTTGAAAATGACCATGATTAAATTGATTAGAAACACTGGAAACTCATAGATTAAGGAAACTCTTTATTGTTATCTTTTTTACTCATCTTAAATCCGTTAAGGTTGTATTTGGATGGATGGATTTAAGTTAAGAATTTGAATTTAAAATCTCATATTTGAAATCTCATTTAAAATTCATAAATTCTAAATTTTTTGTTTGGATGTAATATAAAATTTTAAATTATAATATTAAAATTTTTGTTTGGATTTAAAGTAAAATTTCAAATTTTAAGTTCTATATTTAAATTTCAAAGAAACTTGGAAGACTGGTTAATGTTGATGGTTCAAATGGCCAACTTTCTTCGGGATCAGATGGTAAAAGCTGATTGGGACTGTAGCACCAGCAACGACTGAGATGGGACGGCCGACTTCCACCAGACTGGACCGACAATGACGACATTAATAGCATAGTGGCCTTCCACCGGGATCGAACCGACGGTGATCATGAGGATTGGATTGCCGACTTTCACCAAGACCAAACCATCGGCTACCACGGGGACCATATAGCTGTCTTCCACTTAGATCGGATGGCTAACTTCCACATAGATTGTGGATCGATGGTGATGATTGGGACCTAATGGCCGACTTTCAATGGGACTGTACTGATGGTGATAGCGTAGATCAGCCTAACAACGTCCAACATGACAAGACCGACAAGGACGACCGGGATGGGACAACTGACTTTCACCAAATCGATCGGCCAACATCCATTGAGATTAGACTAGATGGAAGTCGGCTATTGGATCCTCGTCGTCACCATCAGTCTAGTTTTGGTGGAAGTTAGTTATCAGGTCCTTGTCATCACCATCAATTTGGTTCTGATTGAAGTCAGTTGTCCAATCTTGATGGTTGTAGATCCGATCTAGATAAAGGTCGGCCGTCTGATTCTCGTTGTCGCTGTCGGTTTGATCTCGGTAGAAGTTGACCGTCCGGTTCGAGTGGTCGCCATTGGTCCAGTTAAGGTGGAAGTTGGCCATCTAGTCCCTGTCGTTGTCGTCAGTTTGGTCCCGATAAAAGTTGGTCATCTAGTCCCAGTCAACAGTGGCAACTTGTTTTTGTCAACTTCGGCGGTCTGATCCAATTACCATTGGCAAGTTGATCAAGCCTTCATGGATTTGGGTTAAATTGTAAAATAGATTGAGCTAAGATTATAAAAGAGATTGAGGTAGAATTTGGATTTGGATCCAAATTCATACGTTTTTAATTATCCAAATGATGGATTTAGCTCAAATTCAAATTCAAATTCAAATCCATATGTATCCAAACATGGCATAATTGTAATCGTGAATGATTTTGTTTCCAGAGATATTTTGATCAAAACGTAAGTCACTATATAGGGTAGTGTTTGGGTTTTTTTTCCCCCTCTTTTCATTGAGACCAAAAAAAAAAAATACTAGAATATTTCCGCCATTGTATCATAAATTAAAGACGCAATTAATGCAAGGTATTTACATCATTTCTCTGCCTGACTGGTTTAAAGAGTTGCCATTCTCTACATCATTTTAAGATGATTAATCTTTAACATGAAGTCGGATTGAATAGTTTTTTATATATAATTTTGGTTGCCTTGTTGAGAGGCTTGCATAGAGAGTGATGTAATTTTAGTTGCATTGTTGAGGCTTGCATTTGATTGCATAGTTACTGCTTTTAACGTACAACTTTTATTTTTGCTGCTCATTTAATTTTAGTCACGCAAAATTGTTCAGTATGCCTATTACTTCAGAGTTTAAAGAAGCTTGAATTTGAAATGATTGTGCCTATGCCGGAACTTAATGAATATGGAATGATTCAAGCGGCTGGATGATGTATGCGTGTGCGTGTTACACTGTGTTATTCTCCTGGAGAACCTTAAATACTAACCGTACGTGTAAGATTTCATGAACACGCTGTGTTTTCCGTTCTTATAGTGTGCAGCGGGTCATCGAAAGGCACGATCAGCATTCAGAAATTGAAAGATTATACCATTCATCCATTTTTGTAAGATCATTATGCATAATTGTTTTTAATTATTTTTTTTTCTCAATATTTTCGCTCTGTTTACTGCTTTAAATTATGTAAACGGGTGCGAGTGTCATGCATTACGTTTAGTCTAAAAAATGAGTCACCCTTCATGGTGCAGCACATAAGAGCTTTTATAATATAAATAGATATATAAATTGTTTCTGTCGAATTGTCCTGGCTAGTATGTTAGTTCTGTTCTCTAGGATTTCACAAAACTTTAGCTTCTCAAGTTTCTTGAGTATTTGTTTAATTGCCTAGATTTTCTCTTTTCCAAGTAATACGATTATTTAATTTATAAAGGAGTAGCAATAATGATGAAGTATTTGTAATTCGATAAGATGCATAAGTTGCTAGCTTAGCTATAGTGAAATGAAAATTCTCTTCTGATCATCTATTATTTTTTCAGTGCACTGCTCAATTATTTAAATAAAAAAATTCCTAAGATGTGACTTTCAAAGGACTTAATCTTGATTTGATATATGGATGGGGTTGTTCATAGGCTGTGCCGGGTTTGACCCTATAAAAAGAAAAAGGCTTCAAGTTCAACAACGACGATGACAAACCTTATCCCATTAGGTGTGGTTGGCTACATGAATTATATAATGCCTTTGTGTTTTATCATCAACCAAACTTTTATGAATATCATTAACTAAGAGGTTTCGATCAATAACTTATATAAGTGTTCTCTTTGATCTTCATTTACCCTTTTTTATTGGATTCAAGATTATTCATTCCACTCTTCTCACTGGTGCCTCCCATGTTCTTTTGCGAGCATGTTCAAACCATCTTAAACGATTTTTTATCATTTTCCCTTCAATAGATGCCATTCCAATGTATAATAAAATAACAATAAAAGATTGTGTCTCTACAGAAAGTTACATCATTCACTTTGCTTAACCTGAAATTCAATAGTACTGAATTTATGGAAATCTCTTGGGAATTTTATGCATAGCATGAAAAGGAAACCTTTAGCATGCTCAGCATGGAAGAAGCCAATAAGGTTCAGGAACTGAGGTATATAAATTTTTGTAAATGTACAATATTATAATTGTGAAGCTTTTATTTTGTGCCTTCCATATGATAGATTCATAATATCATATATTACTGAGGGGATGGCTATACCTTATAATAATTGAAAGGCAGTTGAAGGGAGAAGAGCTTGAAGGATTGAACACGAATGAATTACAGAAGCTTGAAGAACAATTAGAAAAAGGTTTGAGCCGTGTTGTCAAAGCTAAGGTTTGCACTTAGCCCCTTACTACACTACAAATTCGGATCTGATCTCACAGGGATGCATCTAATCCGAATCATTGATAGATTAGATTTGAATATTGTCAAGTCCAATTGGAATGTATCCTTCACATTTATAATTATAATGAAGGGATCCGCAGGCATGTACTACATTCCTGTTTGCATATATCCTAAGGAAAGAGCACCAAAGAAACTTTGAAGTGATATGGCAAATAGATTTTTATACTTTCATAAATCAAAATATTGTTATATGTCCTTAAACAAGTTCTTCAAACGACATGTTGATCTCAAGAGCTCAAAAGCTCATCATGTCAATTATGAAAGAGTTTGAAATTAAATAACATATGAAGTAATAGCATTAAGTAATAACTTTGAAGCTTTTTTCATTTTTTTTACTAGCGCATTATAAGTGATTGAACCCCCTCATTTTGTTTTTGAGCCCTTCCATTTGGAATTATTGAAATTTCTTGTCTGGATTAATGCTTGCATTTCAAAGTTTTTTGCATTTAAAATTACTTCATAGAAATTAATGTTACTAATCTTCACAACATACGGTGCTTGGTGGTTTTACAGGAAGAAATAATTATGAAAGAGATCAATGCGCTCAAGAGAAAGGTGAAATACATTCCAAACCTAATTATTGAAGGCTGATGTATATTTTTGTTATTGCTTGATGTTTGAAAAGAAATCATGTACAGGAGAAATAATTATATTTAGTTGATGTCATGCCAAAAAAGCGACAAATAACTATCCATGACTGGAATGTCTTCATATATATGATGGCCTGCCTCTGCGCAGGAAAGATTAAACCTAACTGAGTAAAAGTGCTAAATTATTGGAAATAAATCTTGAAGGTTAATAATATGGGACAAGATTAAGATAGAGAATTTGATATTCATGTAATTGATGAAAAATCTAATAGTTTTATGCCTTTAAAAGATATGTCTCAATTACTTGGTTAATTAATCCTAAAAAAATAATATTTTATTGATAAAGAATAAACATCATATTGTTTGTTCTAAAACTTTTATGGATTGATATTTCTAATATTCGAGAACTAAACAACTTAAATATGGAAAATTAATCATTTACCTTGTAATTTTGAATCAATTACAACTCAATTTTTGAAATTTAATTCAATGCAACTCAGTTCCTCAAGCTTTAACCATTTAATTTGTTGATCCCTATACTTAATGCTTCAATTACAAGTTAATCCATGAAGAGCTTGATATTTTTTGAAAGTATAGGGACCAATTTATTAAATGGCTGACACATTTGAGGCTAAATTGAACTTTGTTAAACTTTAATGATTGAGTTGTAACTAAATCAATTAAACTGTAGGAATCAAATGATTAATTTTCCTTGTGTACATGCATCTCATTTATTCGCTCCTTAAATATTAATGAAGAGAGTGAGGAAGATAGAGCCATAGAGGGGAGAAAGAGAGAAATGATTTACAGTAAATTGTAGTCAGTGAAGAACTAGTCTGCCAGGCCATCTCATTCACAGAGATGTATAGGACAATTAGAACTTAGCTTCTCTGAGAATGCTTCCTTGTCCGTGCAGGGAATCCAGCTGATGGAGGAGAATCAGAGATTGAAACAGGTGATCCGTGTTTTGAATTATTTGCATGGTAAATCAGTGTTAAAACGATTAAGTCCCTAATCCAAGTTTCATCGATTAGACCATAATTGATTCCGAGTCAAACCATTCATCATTAAATTAACATGCTTTAAGTTCTATGAACTCCTTTCTGGTCCTAGTTATTGTGTAATATTAATCCACTTTAATTTATGGTTCTTAACGAATGATAGTTAATATGCTTTAAGTGCAATTACATCTTTGCCTTATATTAGTTAGATGCTTCAATGTTCAAAGCTCCTTAATTATGAACAATGCAACCTCCATTACATTTTATATACATGTTAATTCATAATATAAGCATGTTAAAGGAAAAATCAGTTTTCACCAATTTTTGACCTGTTTGATTGGCTTTGTCCGGTTTTGAAAGAATTTTCGGATTGGACCAAGGTAGGGGTTCAACAGTTGAACCATCAGGTCCAATTAATTAACATTGATTGTTTCAGATTGGTGGCAAGAATCTGAAGATGGAAAATTTGTGTTTAGGTGATGAAAGTTGGACAAAAACAAGGTCAGTCATCTGAGTCAGCAACTATCGGCAGCACATCTGATTCTCTTCATGAGGATGATAGTTCAGACACCTCTCTCACATTGGGGTTAGTATGTAACAAACTTAACTGTTCATTTGAGTTTTCTCATGAACAAGCATGTCAAGAAAATGCAAGAATTTATTCAATTCTCTTGAGATAGCTGATTATTGACAGACCTGAGATTACGTGATTACTTGTTTTATTAAAAACACATCCTGAGGGTCAACAATTAACAGGGAGAATAATTAAGAATTCATATTCATACAAGCTATATATATATATATACTCCCTGTTTTCAAATATAAGAGAAAAATAACTAACTTACACAGTTTTAAAAAGTTGGTTAAGTATAATAAGTATGTCTGAAATTTAAAAAATTAAACTAAATTAGTCTTATTGTTAATAAAACACAAATTTGTCTCGTCAAAATAAATATTGACTTTATAAGGAGTAATATGGTAAAAGGAAGATAAATATTTCTTGAAATTTATAGTTTTGCTTATTAAAAAAAAAAAACGGAGACATGTGATAGTTGTATAATTAAAAACGGAGGGAGTATCCACGATTGACAGTAAACAGTTTGAACTAAAAAGTAATTTTTTTTTTTGCTTGTATTATATAAGCACCACAGTCCACAGTTTTCTCTCCTTAGCGTATTTATTTTTGACATGTGGAATGTGGATCTTTCAAAAAAGAAGTCTTTTGTATGTCGGAGCGCATTAAATCTATGTATGTCTGATCATAATCTAGTGTTTGTTTCTTTGGGTCCCCCCCCCCCCCTCCAAAAGATATAAACATCCTCAAGTAAAAGAGGTACATGTAGAGAGAGAATTTGGTGGATCTCACTCTCGAACACGGAACGTTTCCATTTCGTAAGCATCCTTGTCTCTCCACTTTCCTAATCAATCATAATGATTGATATCACTGCATTAGGTGAATATATTTTAGCCATAAATTTGATGAATGATTATGATTACGAAAGTGAAGAGAGAAAGATGATAAAAAAATGGTTTACTAAAATAATCTCTTTCTCCACCAATACATTAGATCCACTTGAAAATAAACTCCCTATTATTAATCTATTGTGCATCAAACTAATGTGAGACTTGCCCATGAATGCAAGAAGTAGTAGTGATCAGGCAACTGTGCACACATACCATAATTAGGTATATCTATGGTTTCTTGATTGTTGATGGAGCACAATGATATCATTCATTTTATATAGATTTATGCTTATGATTTCTTAGTTATTGATAGAATACAATAATATTGTGCAATTATGTTTATAAATGGCTTCTTGGTTGTTGATATAATACAATAATATTGTGTAATTTATGTAGTTGACCTTAGGTCGTGAGACAAAGCATGCTTATGTTTGGCATCTTGTCAAAAGTTAACCAGAGTGTTTTTTATCTGCTGCAGATTGTCTTTGCTCAGATAATACATTAAAAAAAAAAAAGATGTGAGGCAACATGGAAAATACATCAAAAATTTAATTAACCATTGTCGTGTACGGGACAATTCCCCCATTATTATTTCATAGCAAGTTTGCTTAATTTTTATGTAAGTAGGTTTTTTTTTTATTACATATATGCGAGCAAATGATATGTATATATATAATATATACACATACGAGAATGGTGTTGTATTTTGAATTCGATTTTGTTTCCCTCTCTTGCTTCTTGCGAATATTTTTGTTTTTGTTTTTGGTTTTTCGTTTTTGTTCCAAATGGAAACTGAAACTTACATATTCAACCAAAAAAAAAAAAGGTGGATAATTGAAGATACAAAATCATTTTAAAATCTCTCAAATGTATGTTAGCACAGACACGTGTCCGACACAGCACAATTTGATACGTAAAATATGACAAATTTTAAAATCTTGTGCCATGCAAAACAAAAAATTGTCAATCTATAATACGAAGTAAAAGTAGGTATTAATTATTCTCAAAATTATCTAAATAATTTAAAACTGGAATCTCTATTCTCTCCTTAATTGTCCAAGACAAACATATTGGGCCTACAATGATGCCATAACAATGCAAGGTACTCCTTTCAATTTTTTTATAAGTATGTTTTAAAAAATTTATTTAGTTTCATTTATAAGTTATGGTGTTATTTTTTAAGTAATATTTAAAATATATTTTTAAAATTATTTTTTATGAGAAAAAAAAGTAACATGATATTAGTTTTTAAATTTATTATATGGGGGTATATTTATAATCATACACACTTTTATTCCTTATTTCTTACTGTACTATGAGCACTAAAAGAAAAAGCTATATTCTCTTCGTTTAAAAATATAAGATATTTTTAATTGAATTTTATTTTTCAATAAAATAACTATTTATCTTCAAAATAACTCTATTTTTTCATATTTAATAGGATGTTTGACCTTGAAATAAATATAAAGTTATTTATTCAATAAGAGCACTTAAAAAAAAAAGACAATTATTATATGTAAAAAAATTAAAAATGCCTCACATTTTTTAACATCCAACCACCTAAAAAGTATTTTACATTTTTTTTAATGGAGAAAGTATATCATTTCAATATTGTAATACCCTCATCATCTTTCTTTTCTAGTACTAGCTAGTTGTGTTTAGTAATGACTAGGGAGTAATTTGAATGAGAAATTGGGCTAAAACAACCTTAGTTATATACTCGCTTCAATTTTTATTATAAAACATTTTAATTGTTTCATGCATCTTTAAAAAAATTAATTCTTACATCATCAAAAAAATAATATGAACTTTCATTTTTATTTTTAATTTTAAATTATAATACAACTATATTAAATATTTTCATGTTAATAAAAAATAAAAAAATAATTTAATATAATTACAAAATATCTTATATTTTAAATAAAATATACTTTTAAAATGTGTCTTTTATAAACCACATGTGTCTCTATTTGATCACGAATAAAACTAATATTAACTTCATAGGGTTGCAGACAAAAGCTGCACTTGACCAATGACCATTCAATACACGCAGTTGATGTGCCAAATCATGCAACACGCATTAGACCAATAAATGCAAGGGTTTGTTTGCAAAAACTGTTTTTTGTTTTTAAAAAGAAAAAGATAAAAAATTGTTTGCATAAATGTTTTGAATTTAATTATTTTTAAAATTTTTTGTTCTTTGTTTTTAAAAACAAAAAAAGGATCATCTTTATTCTTCATTTGATTATTAAAAAAGATTAATTTATCGATAGTAATCAAAACCAAAAGTTTTATTTTCTTATTTTTAAAACACATTTCATTTGATTATTAAAAAAATAGTTAGCTTAATCAATATTTATCATAAACTATTATTATTAACTGCTCGCAACTATCATTGTCAGCCTATTTTTCAATTCTAATTTTTTAAATTAACATAATCAAACATAATTTTTTTTCAAACAACAATTTTAAAAATTGTATTAAAAAAATTTAAAAAATAAAAATAAAAACAAGCCCTAAGGTCATATTCAATTAATTGTTTTTAGAACATTTTTTTCATTTTGAAAAACAAAAGATATGTTTGAAGATGTATTTTCTACTATCTATTTTGGAAAATAAAATTTAAAAGTGTTTATGAAAAGTTAAGAAGAGATAGAACATCTTTTTTATGTGTATTTTTTAAATTAAAAAAGATATAAATATCATGTTTTTATCAATGCTAATTATCTTAATAAATTAAATAATTATTTTTACCTTTATTTCACCACTTTAGATATGTCTTTCAAAATAATAATTTAAACATATTTGTTAATTTTTTGTATTTCCAAATTTTATTCTGAAAAATTATTATATAATTTTTTAAATATAAAAAAAACAGAATCTAAAAAGCCCCCTCACTCTTTTGCTTTAAAAATATTTTGTAAATAAAAATACATCTTAAATCTTTATTGGTTAAAAAACAGGGGAATGGCATTTAAGGGTCCTAAAAAGCAATAATTTTTCAGATAAGGCCTAATGGATTCTGAAACTATTCTGAGGGACTAAAGGCCTCATTTGCAATTATATTTTTTAGTAAAATGACTAATTTGTTCCTCCCATAACTAGCTGCCAAATGAAAATTGTTGCTTCTTCCTCCGTCCTTCCTCCCTCGTCCTTTTCTCTTCCTCTTTCAACACTGATACAATAATCAAATTCATTTTCTTCCCCATCATGCTTCTCTATTCCCTCTCTTCTTCTTCTTCCTTCTTCCTTCTTTCTCTCATTTGAAGCTTTTTCGTTCAACAAGTATGAGTGGGTGATTCATTTTTATTTAGATAAGTATAGAGAAGACGAGCAGGCATTCATTCGATTACATTCCTCTCATGTCAGCTAGCTTCTTGAAACGATTTGCCATAGAAGATGTATTTTCTACTATCTATTTTGGAAAATAAAAATTTAAAAGTTTTTATGAAAAATTAAAAAGAGATAGAACATCTTTTTGATGTGTTTTTTCTTTAAAATTAAAAAAAGATATAAATATAATGTTTTTATCAATGCTAATTATGTTAATAAATTAAATAATTATTTTTACCTTTATTTCACCACTTTAGATATGTCTTTCAAAATAATAATTTAAACATATTTGTTAATTTTTTGTATGTCCAAATTTTATTCTAAAAAATTATTATATAATTTTTTTAAAATATAAAAAAAACAGAATCTAAAAAGCCCCCTCACTCTTTTGCTTTAAAAATACTTTGTAAATAAAAATACATCTTAAATCTTTATTGCTTAAAGAAAAGGGGGAATGGCATTAAGGGCCCTAAAAAGCAAGAGTTTTGCAGATAAAGCTTAATGAATTTTGAAATTATTCTGAGGGACTAAAGGCCTCATTTGCAATTATATTTTTTAGTAAAATAACTAATTTGTCCCTCCCATAACTAGCCACCAAATGAAAATTGTTGCTTCTTCCTCCGTCCTTCCTCCCTCGTCCTTCTCTCTCTTCCTCTTTCAACATCGATACAATAATCAAATTTATTTTCCTCCCCATCATGCTTCTTTATTCCCCCTCTTCTTCTTCCTCCTTCTTCCTTCTTTCTCTCATTTGAAGCTTTTTCGTTCAACAAGTATGAGTGGGCGATTCACTTTTATTTAAATGGGTATGGAGAAGACGATCAGGCATTCGTCTGATTACATTTCTCTCATGCCAACTAGCTTCTTGAAACGATTTGCCATAGTGTGGAAAGAATGGATCAATGCTACATCTGTCATTATCAGTTTTATTTTGTCAAAAAAGGATATAGAGAGAGTTTGAGCCATATCAGTTTTATCTAATTATAATGCATGCGTTCACATTCATTTAATGAAAACAAGTTATTATTTATGAACTTTTTGTTGATTTTGATACATATTTTTTGCAACTGATATAAATGTTCTAGTGTAATGTTGTTTATAAAATTTATGTTGTTATTTATGGAGTTTACGTTGTGCAAACTTTGCAATTAACTTGTGAGGATATTTATGTGTATCATGTCAACAAACCTTGTATTATAAATATATGGACATTATGTTATTAGCGAAAGGATACTTTCATGCTATATATGAATCTTTTGTTCTTCATTAACTTGAGAAACTTTTTTAAATGTTCAATTTTATCACACAAATCATGTGAAATAGATGGACATTATGTTGTTAATAAATGGAATTTGTCATGTTATATACAGATTTTTTATTATTCATAAACTTGAAAAACTTTTTGTTTAAGCCTAGTCAACTGATAAACTGGACACACATGGACTTTTAGTTTATAATATATGAAGATTGTGTTATACATGATGGATATTGTGTTGTGCATTATTTGCATGCGTATTTTATCAAGCCTAACTTATTGATAAAGTAGAATCTTATGAATTTTTAGTTGAGAATAAATGAACCTTATATTGTGCATAGTGGATATTGTGTTGCGCATTGTTTGCTTACTTCTACATTTTGTCAAGCCTAACCTACTGATAAAGTAGAATCTTATGAACTTTTAGTTGAGAATAAATGAACCTTATATTGTGCATAGTAGATATTGTGTTATGCATTCTTTGCCTATTTGTGTATTTTGTTAAACCTAGTCTATTGATAGAATCGTATGGACTTTTAGTTGAAAATATATGAACTTTAAGTTATGCATAGTGGATGTTGTGTTATGCATTGTTTGTTTACTTCTACATTTTGTCAAGTTTAACCTACTGATAAAGTAGAATCTTATGGACTTTTAGTTGAGAATAAATAAACCTTATATTATACATCGTAGATATTGTGTTATGCATTATTTGCCTATTTGTGCATTTGTTAAGCCCAGCCTGCTGATAAAATAGAATCGTATGGATTTTTAGTTGAGAATATATGAACCTTATGTTATGCATAGTGGATATTGTGTTGTGCATTATTTGCTTACTTGTGTATTTTGTCAAACCTAGTTTACTGATAAAGTAGAATCTTATGAACTTTTAGTTGAGAATAAATGAACGTTATATTGTGCATAGTAGATATTGTGTTATGCCTTCTTTGCCTATTTGTGCATTTTGTTAAGCTTAGCCTAGTGATAAA